TGTTCAGGTTGTGACTGCAGATATTTTCCTGCTGCTCTCACTGACTGTCACACTTCCTGCAAAACAAATGTTGTTTTTGTGAAATCTACTTTCAATTGTAGCTGGAACTGTCTGCTGCAACTAATGCAAATAATAAAAAAGACATTTTAAAGCAGTACAATCTTCAAATCAATTAGAAAATAAACAAAGAGAAATCAGGAGCGAGGCTGTTCTGGATAGTTTATAAAAGATGCAGAGATAATTTAATCAAACACACAATAGTTCAAAAGGTTCTGTTATAAACATCACACAGACTCCAGACAGATGAGTAATTTAGAGTTTCTGTTAACTACAGCTGATGACTTCAGTCTGATTTTATTTGAGATTCAGAAAATGTAATTTCAGACAGATTTTTAATGTCAGATGTGGTTCAGGTGGACTGATTCTTAATGAGCTGATACACCTGGAGAAAAGTGAAAGGCAACATAAACGAATGTGGACCTAAAATGCATCCTTGAGGGACTACACAGATCAGAGGAACATTTTCCTAAAGACACACGTTGGTCAGGTGGGATCTGAACCAGGATCAAACTGAGCCTTTGACACAACCTGTTCTAGCCATTATCATTCATTTTGTTTAATGTATTCCAATTTTGTCTAAAGTTTAGTCAAAAAACTTTTGTCTCCTTCCTAATTATTCAGTTTGTTTGTCAAAAAAAGGTTTCATCAGTTACATTATTTCTGGTGATTTTTAACTGGTTTCAGAATCAGTCTGTTTTTTACTTAGACATGTTTATTTTGCTTTTTATTATCTGTAGGTTACAGTTTACACTTCCATTGCTCTAAATAAGAGATTTCTGAGCTCTGCTGGTTTTGGAAACAATGGAAGAATTAAGTGTTTGATTTCCTGCTGATTCTTTAAGTTTGCCTATTTATAAAGAAATATTACCTGATTCTTTTCACAGGTTGGTTTTATAGAAAAAGAACATCAAATAAAAATCAATAAAATATAAAAAACAAATATTTGATTTTCATGCTATTCAAGAAACATTTAGGAAACCAAACAAACTAAAGATTAAAAAATGAATGATAAGTACACAGACAAAAAAATCCAGAAAAATAAAACAAACATTAAAAACCAGAGATCAGGATGTAATTAATATACATATATTTATAGTTATTATATAGTTATAATTATTTTTCTCACCATGCATCCATCAGAAGCCCAGGGTCTCAACAGGACCATGAAGCAGGCTGAAGGAGATCCACACCTTGGGTTTAGCATCATGTCTATGTAAATAAAACTAGTTTGAATTGTTTTGACTTGCCAATCAATCAGGATGTGAGTCAAAATGCAAATAGTGTGCAAAATTATTCTTCATATAAGTGATGAAATGTCATTTCTGCAGATCTGTGTGTGAAGCCACAGGGATGGAGAAACTTCTTCTGTTCTTCACTGCTGCCTCAGGTGAGTGTTTGATCAAAGCTCTGACCTGTTTCTGTGTTTTCAGTTCTTCTGTTGTGTTCAGGAGGTGCTGGTACCATCAGAAAATTTCAAACTGACAGGATTGTTGCAACAAATTCAACTTTTAGCTCAAATCAAACCACCGACTACAAAAACACCATTTTGTTTCTGAGCTGCAGAGAAAACTACTCAGACCAAGAAACCTGAGGGGGATTTATGGTGGAGCCTCAACACCCACCTCCCACCCACCCCACACACTTACACACACCTCACACACAAAGACATACAAGTTGCTTTTCTATCCTCATGGGGACTTTGCATTGACTTCCATTCATTTT